GAGAGAGAGAGAGAGAGAGAGAGAGAGAGAGAGAGAGAGAGAGAGAGAGATGGTAAGGTACATCTAGGTGCCACACAAGCTTGTGGAATGCAGGAGGGAACCACATATCAAGCCCTCAACCCCTACGAAGATCCTCCCCCCCCCGGCCTCTTGTACACCAAATGGGAAACGACAAGTAAAGGCAATGAAACAGAAATGCGAAACAAAATAGGAAATATTTGTGAATTGGCATATGTAACAAAACGGGGCACTGAAGAAAGGGCGTTTAGAACAAGAATAAAAGAAGTGTTGGAAAGCCTAATGAATAAGAACCGAAGCGGGCAATCCGGGATGAAACCAAAACGGAAAACTGCATTCCGCATGCACATCTGACGGTAAATGGACTGGATACATCAGCTGTTGGCAAGATAGTCGATCCTCTGTACGCAATGTGGTTTCTGGGAGGAAACTGATGATTGCCACTTCCGTTGTCCCGCCCAATCTCCTGTGGTGTTCTTGTAAAGGGGAGCAACGGTGGAAGGGAGGAGGACTCACCCACTTCCTGGAAATTTGTTTCCAGGATCATGTTGTGTGCGCAGCGGGGAGGGGGGGGCGCGGTTGACTCCCGAGCGGGATGGTCACCACAAGTGTGTCGTGCTCTCACGATGCCTCGAAAAAGCAAGAGGAGAGAGAAGAACGAGCGTTCTCAGCAGCACAAGGTCTTTTGAAACAGACGATAAAGCCTTCATCAGATATGTCTATTGAGTTGCAGGTGTCAACGAAGTTTCTGGTAGAGGTCACCAGATCGTAGACAGTTACGATACGAATGGCGGGATTACGATGTGTGTATCCAGATTTGCCACTCTGGATGCTGATGTCCGGATGGTCTCGTAAGGTGAATTAAGTTAATTAACAACATAGTAGATAATGGTATTTGTTTCCGGAAAAGAATAAGAAATTTCGTTTTTTTCTTCCAGAAAATTTCGAAAAGTAAGTCCGGAAAGAAAACTATTTTGTGGAGCTTGGCAATATAAGCAACTTTTGGCTGAGGGTCACTGTCAAACTCTGAAGCAAATCAGAGAAGAAGAAAAAAGACAGAAAACATAAAATTTAATAAATATAGGTTTTGCGCGGGCTAGCTCAGTTGGTTTGAGAACGGAAGTGGTTCGTAGGAGGTCGTGGGTTCGATTTCCCACGCCATCCATTCTATCCCCACGGCCTCCTGTGATACGCTTCGGGTTCTCCAGCGGAGATAATTGGCTTGGGCTTCCTGGCTGGCTGGGAAGCGACCATTTGCGCCGTCGAGCTCGTGCCTGGTGTTAGAAGCTTGGGTGCTGCTCCCCTCACAGAGCAGATGTGGCTTCTTAACTTAGGAGAGATCTCCTGCCTTGGTCACCAAAAAACCCTGTAGTGGATTGCTAAGCTGCGTGTAAGTAGGTAGGTAGTGAGAGGTTTTGCCAACTTGTTGGGCCACCTCCTTGGGCCACCTCCTTGTCTGGAACGGATCTGGATGCTGAAACAGATCTGGATGCCTGGATGGCATCCAGACTGTTTGGTCGTCGGGATCCTGTCTGGATAAGGTGCGCGTCTGGGTCCAAGTCGCGTGAAGCCCTCTGGTGAACTTTGAGGGTCAGAGAAGACGACTCTGAAGAGCTTTGAGCTGGGAGTGGTTGGAGAAAGGGCAGCGGTTCGTTGGTTTGCACAGCCCAAAAAAGAAAAGAGAAAAAAAAGGAATGGTTGGGAGAAAGGGCAGCGGTTCGTTGGTTTGCACAGCCTAAGGCAGTAGAGTTGTGTCTGGGTCCAACTCATGTGTGGCCATCTGGTGAACTAATGGCTTGCTTATGGAGGGAAGTGTCAGAGAAGATAGCTTTGAACAGCTTTTGAGGTGGGAATGGCTGGGAGAAAGGGCAGCGGCTCGTTGGTTTGCACAGCCCGAAAAAGAAAAAAAAAAGAAAAAAAAAGGAATGGTTGGGAGAAAGGGCAGCGGTTCGTTGGTCTGGCTTGCTTATGGAGGGGAGGGTCAGAGAAGATAGCTGGTGAACTAATGGCTTGCTTATTGAGGTGGGAATGATTGGGAGAAAGGGGAGCGGTTCGTTGTATTGCACAGTCTAATGCATCGGTGTTGTATTTGGGGATTGGCGTCTTCCATGCTTTTTTACCATCAACACTTCGCAGCGATTACATAGGCTCAGAGTGGTCAGGCTCGCCCAGTCTATGGCTTGCTGACTACCTTCTTCCCACGAACATAACGCATATGCATTGTAAAGGAATACAACGCATTAGGGTGCCTTCTATTCAAATACAACACATGCGTTCTATTCGAATAGCCCTAAATTTCGAATACAACGCATGCGCCTTCTATTCGATTTTTTTTTCAAATTTCGACACTTGAATACAACACATATGTGTTATGTTCGGGGGAAGAAGGTAGTCCTATCCAATGGATGGGATTGGAATTTCCACACGACGACTGGGATCTGACTGGGGAGGGGTCAGTACCCCTGAGAAATCACGCTTATGGTACTGTTTCCAGCTTTCAACAGGTAAGCTACCTCGGCATGTGCGGGGAGCCTGGATGAGTGAATGTCGCATGGAGTCTGGGGGACAGACTGGCAGGCAGAACCCCACTTTGATGGGGATGGGGGAAGGACGCAGACACCACTGTTTTTTACCTGTCAGAATGAGCCTGGACGTGCAGGCTGTCAGGGGCATGACCTGTGTGAGGATGTGCAATCGTTCTAGTATATTCTGGTAGGGAGAAATAATGAATCCTGACCACAGAAGTGGCAATCTTGTCCTTTGTCCTGATGGTGCTGAGTATGATAATTATATCACTAGGACAGGTGGGCCATGCTGGATGTTTGCCCTGCAATCTCGTCTACTTTTTCTTTTGTAGGATTGTCTGATGGAAGAGAAAATGAGGCTGAGGCAAACTCGCATGGAAGAGAAAAAGAGGCCGAGGCAAACTGTTTGTCTAGACTTTCGCAAACTCGTTTGGAGGGAAAGAAAGGAGTGGGGAGAGAGAGAGAGAGAGAGAGAGAGAGAGAGAGAGAGAGAGAGAGAGAGAGAGAGAGAGAGAGAGAGAGAGAGTCCATTCGCTGGTCATTAAAATCGACATCTTTGCTGCTGAGTGCAAAGTTGCAAACTGCTCGTTGCTATTCTGTTTTTGCAATTATGTCTAGTGAATGCGTCCATGATCAGATTCCTGTAGGGACTATCGCTTCCTTGGTACGGCATTGTCAGACGCCTAACTGATTGCTTGTTGCTGTGTTTGTCATTGGGTGTCCTTCGTGTGAACAGCAATGTTACAGCAGTGCCTGGAGCTGTTTCCACTCTACCCCCTGAGATTGCCAATTTCACAAACCTGGAGGCCCTGTAAGTGTTGACAAAAGTGCTTTCATTTTCTTAACCTCACCTATGCCTACCCTTCCAGGCAACCCCCCTCACGCCCCCCTTGCGAAATCAAAGGCTGTAAGGATCTGAATGGCCCGCCAGGTTACATGAAGGACACAACACCCTTCTACCACCGAACACAACAAGGACACAACTAAGCCAACACATCAAGAAAAGCCACCTTCTACCATCCTACGCAAATAGAATTGTCCCTTGGGAGTTTATTCCTTTAGAGCTCCTAGGGAGTTGTATTCAGGAGTCATGTGAGGAGAGGGCCTTCTTTGCTCTTGTGAAGTTTTGATACTAAAAGTTCTGGACAGAAGTGTATGTAATGCACCATCTTGCAATTCAAGCCAACTTTTGAGTCAAAAAAAAAAAAAAGAAACTGCCAGGAGACTTGTATATGATTTTTGTTTTTGAAACTAAAGCCACTACTGCTCCACACAAAATCAAGAGGTCTCACGGGTGGATATACACTGGCCTAGGGGTGGTGGCAGTCTGTGGAATTTTGAGAGCGGCAGTTTTGACGATTTTACGTGCTCATATTTATTTCCCAAAAATCTGAAAAGAACCAGAGAGGTAGGCTTAGTGCTGATCTCTCAGCGAAAAATGCTAGAAAATCCAAAGAAAACACAACTCTGGATGGCAAAAAAATCCTGGCAGCAATAGTGCACATAATCTTGCCCCTATTCCGACCCAATAGGCCCAAAACTTTTAGATTCAATGCTCCAGCGCTGGGAGAAGGTATAGGTTGGCCAAAACAGCTCCAGGAGAGTAGCGGTTTAATTGTTTTAGGGAGGACCCTTAGGGAACCATATTTCATCTCCACACCTCTACATCTAGATGAAGATCATGCACTTCTGCTCCTGTATGCCCAGGTGTGTTCTGGCAGGGGTGGTTTTGTCTTCTTCGGAACCTCCTGGGCTGTTTCTGTGTTTTCCCCAAAGTTTAATGCATTTGAAAATTAGTCCCAAAATTTAATGCATCTGAAAACCAGTCCCAAAATTTAATGCATCTGAAAAACAATCAGGTTTTACAACTCTCAAAGTCTCCATGTTGCCTGCTTCCATTTCCGCTCTCTTTTAGTTTGAAATCTAGGCTACTGGGATGAGCCCCCACCCCAGGGTGGGTACTCCATGACCTACCGAAATGCCCACCTGAGGGGTCGGTCTGGCCGGGCCAAATCCCAGCGCAAATTTAGGAAAATTGGGAAAATTAAAAATTTTAGAATGTTCAACCACAGTATGGCAACTTTGCTGGTCAAATATAAAAAAGAACGTAAGGCACCCCTGCTATACCCCTTTAAGCCAGGGCTGGTCCCCGGATGGACCGGGGACCCCTACCCCATCCGCGGTCCTCCCGGTTGGACCGGCCGGTGGCCCGGGCCGGTTCCCTCCCGGTTGCCCCCAGCGCATTTTCGCTGGGGGCTGAATTTTTTCTTTTGTCGGCCCGTATGTGTTCTTGAGGCCTTGTGGGGGCGGGCCCTGCCCCGCAATTTCGAAACCGGGTCCTGTAGGCCCGGATTTTTCAAGTACAGAAAGTGACCAATCTTGGCCGCCGATCATCGCAGATCAGCGGCAAAGATCGGCCAGGACCCCATTTCTATAAGAAAAACGGACACAGGATATCCGCCGCCGATCTGTGCAGATCAACAGCGGAGATCAGCCATGCATTTTTCTTAAGATGTGGGTCGGGTAGGCCCCTAATCCAATTTATCATCTTGTGGTCCAATGGACCACTTACCAGTAACAATATTTGATGCTCTTTCACCCTCAGCCACGAGGGGAACACTAGCTTCTGATGAGACTCTGCTGAGATTATATCCTTCTGCGACGTCCCTGCCATCTGTGGAAAAAAAGTTATGGGTTCGGATTTTGGAATTGTGATTTCAGAGCAGTCCGAGGTGCAATCCCAAGAATGGACCTAAGCTATAGGGCGTCGCTGCACTACTCTCGACATGCACAAAAGACAAAAATCTTGGCCGTGTATCTTTCGGAATTCTAGCTGAAGATTCACTCTCGTTTTGCACATTTCGAGAGTAGTGCAGCGAGGCCCATATTTTTCTCTCCATCTATCTCGAATGGACCTTGCTCCAGTACATGTATCTGGACAGACTGCCAGGCAAGAATCCCAAGAATGGACCTAAGCCATAGGGCGTCGCTGCACTACTGTCGACATGCACAAAAGACAAAAATCTTGGCGGTGTATCTTTCCGAATTCTAGCTGAAGATTCACTCTCGTTTTGCACATTTCGAGAGTAGTGCAGCGAGGCCCATATTCTTCTCTCTATCTATCTCGAATGGACCTTGCTCCACTACATGTATCTGGACAGACTGCCAGGCAAGATACTTCCGGACTGACAACTCACCTTGTGTAGAAACCAACAAACAGAAAACGCTCTGCCTCCACGAGCAAAAAGCTGGAACCATAACTTTTCGGCTGTCGAAATATACTCTGGAAGAGCTATAATTTCGGTCAAGGACCTCCTCTCATCATATCTGGATCACCTCGTGAGGTATCAATATCAAATGACATACTCCACGAGGTGCTCCAGGCACGGGGGGGTCGGATAAGTGAAGTTGCTTACTTGACCCTCCCCGAGGAAGCTGAATATGTCAATAATACCTCCCTCCCCCCCTCTGAAAGCCCCCTGAAAAATATTGTACCTTGAAAATTTTATTGCGGATTCGGACAGCTCTTGAAGAGTGCAGTTGGAATCTGTCAAAAAAAAAAAAAAAAAGAAGATATTTGGGCACTTTTTTTAAAAACCGGTTTCCCGGTTCACCCCCCCTGGTCTGGTCCGGCTCCGGTTGGACCGGGGTAGCTCAACCGGCCGGTTGACTGCTCCTACGGCCTTTGCTTTTTTCCGAGTATCTTAGATTGCTTTGGCTTTCAGAGATGGATCGTCAAAAGCTCCGTAAAAAAGTAAGAGAATTCATAGTGGCTTTTAGTCCACTAGAACAGTTTGCTATTATTCCATCAATTGCTTTTTGTATAGGAAACTTGTATCTTTCTTTTACGGCCTTCGGCCGCCTGTTGCTGAGCCCACTCATTTTTTCAAAGCATTCTCCATTCCGTGCAAAGCAATGTTGGCCAGTAAAGGCGAGATGACTTCAGGCTCGCCAGAGTTGTATATAGTTATATAGGGCGGTTGGCAAAACAAGTCATAATGTCTGCGTTCAACCAGGCCTTAATGCGATTCCTCCTCGTTCGTGCTTGTTTCAAAGACACTACCATAGTATCACCTATAATAGCTCTTTGGTTTTTGAAACAATGCAGGGTTTTGATACACTGTAAGATTTTTGCACCGTACGTGACAGTTTCGTGTCATACAGCTCTCCATCAGCGTTCCATCTCGAACGCATAAAGCTCCGTCCCAGACGGGCCAACTCTGTGTGTCTGGACCACAGATTGGTATTAGAAAATCATCTGCGAAGTGGATGTAATGCGTCCTTTCGTGCCAATGCGTGGGACTCAGATGCGAAGCATCTGCTCTTCGAGGCCTATCAATTTCTTGTGCAAAGAAGAGCCATACTAATACTACGCGCACGGGATAGAGTGATTGGTAACTCGTCAGGCTTCGCCCTTCGCTAACCATTTTGGGTTTTTCCAAATTTCGTACTTTGCGCAATGCTTTTATGGACACAGTAGAAGAGGGCAATTCTGAGATTAGCATCCACAATCATTTCAATGACTTGGCTAATGATGTTTCTTCCAAACTCAGCGCTGACTGGACGCCCACTTCTTTGTGTCTTGCTTTCGTCTCCAGCATGTCTTGCTGCACTTCGTGCCTGCCTTCGGTCTGTTCTGGAGGCAGATTGTCCTTCACAAAAAAAGAGTTTTTTTTTTCGCATTTTGAAATGCCTGGGTTTCCTAGACACGTGAGACCGGGTCTGCAGTGACCTTGTTGCCAGCCGCATATGCCGACCGTGCGGGTCTTGTAGTCTAGCCTGAAGTTGCAGTTATAACTCTTTAACTTGGCCTATGGCCAGGAGATCATGTCAAGTAATTGTAGCGGTGTATCTGCTGGACAGCGTGACCATTCTCTGGTGGTCGATTTGATTATACCCTTCAAAGATTGGCATGCGTTGTGGGGTTGGTGTCAGAGGTAGTGATGGAAGCATGAAGGCAAGTTAAGAAATGAAAGGAACTCCGGGCCTTGGCCACAGCAAAAGAATTTCGCGCAAATGGGCATGCTGTTGATTGGCCTCCTTTATTGGAATTTCGCGCTAATGGGCAGGCTGTTAATTTCGCGCTAATGGGCAGGCTGTTAATTTTTTGTTTGCTGGTTTCTCGGTTGTTTTCTTTTGCCTTTCATCAGTTTGCAACTTTGCACACAGGTCTGTGGAGCACCCTCGTAAATTCCTTGCATGTTCTGTGAAAATCCAATGCCGCATCTTTTCTTTCTGCCTGTCCGTTCCACTATCTCTCTTCCCTGCCTTCGTTCTCTTCCCTTTTCCTCTCTGCTGCTGCCTCTTTCTTCCTCTTACTTTCCCTTTCCTTCCTTGGCCCTCGTTTTCCCTTCATTGTTCAGAACGAGTTCCATGGTTTTCCATTGTTCTCCTTGTCTTCCCCCATATTTTACTTGCTTTCCCTCCTTTCTCCCTTTCTGTCATTCTGCCCTCTTCCTTCGCTTCGAACCCCTCTTCCCTCTGTCTCGTCCGTCCTTTCCGTTCAGCCCTTCTTAACCTCCTTTCCATCGCTCTTGTTTCTTTCTCCTTCCTTTTGCTTTTGCCGCCTTGTCTTTTATTTTGCCACTCTATTCATTCATTCCTGTGCCCTATTTCTTTCCCGTTGATCCTTTTCCTTCCCATCCTCCTCCCTTGCTGGCTTTTCATCCTGTCCCTCCTTCCTCCCTCTTTCCTTGCTCCCCCCTTGCTCTTCCCTCTTCCCTCTTCCCTCTTCCCTCTTCCCTCTCCCTCCCTCCCTCCCTCCCTCCCTCCCTCCCTCCCCTTCCTCCCTTTCCTTCCTCCATTTCTGGCTTTATCCTTTCCCCCTCTCCCCTGCATCTATCAATCCATTCCTCCGTCTCCGTCCCTCCCTGCCCTTGTCCCTCCTCTGTTCGACAAGTCTCCCCCACCTTTCTCCCTGTTCATTCCTATCTCCCTTCATCCCTCACTTTGTTCCTCTGTTACATCCATCTGTCCCTTTGTGGCACTTCTGGCATAACCAGTCCATCCCCTCACTTTGTCCCTCTGTTCCATTGATCTGTCCCTCTGCCTTACATCTGGCTTCACCAGTCCATCCCTCACTTTGTCCCTCTGTTCCGTCCGTGTCCCTCTGCGGCATGTCTGGCTTCACCAGTCCCAGGGCCTGAACAATGTTTGCGTGGCCAAGGACACACCTTGGCTGCTGGGTATGTTTATTTTTAACAATTTGGGTAGGAATCGTAGGACATGTTTTCGGTCCCCAAGGCTGTGTCTGGCTCCCTGGAATGCTTGGCTGGCAAGGTCCCAGCCAGTTCCTGCCAGTCCTAGTTATAAATCAGCAAAATAAAGAAAGCCAGGAAATTCTGGAAAAACAATGCAAACAGCTTTTGACTGAGAGTCGCCCCAAAATTCCTTACTGAATCGAAGGTAAGAAAGAAAATAAGACAAACCAACAAAGGCACACCCCTTTAGACCCCTTTAAAGCACCAGTACATGGCCCCAGCCAAGTTGAGAGTCCTAATGAGCCTCTCCTAAAATTTTGGAGGCTTGTGCGCCGTCAATAAAATAAATCAACGGCGGGCAGCCTCCGAAGGAGGCCCGCAGCCGATGGCTGACATGTACTGGTGGTTTAAACCCCTTTGCACCCCTTCCAAGTTTAAATCGCCACTACCTCCGAGCGTCTTTTTGCCGAGGCGGATTCGCCCTGCATGCCAATCTTTGCCGAAGCGCCAGCGCAGTGTTTTGTTTTTTTTCCCTTGTGGCTGGCACCTGCAGCCATTGGCTTCGCTTAGCCCTGAGCTTCTGAAGAACTCGGCAGTTTACATTTTCCCTTCAAGAAGTTGCCTGGGAAAGGTAATGGTTTAAATGGCATTCATACCCCCTCTTCCCCCCCCTCCGCCCCAAGGGTGAGGGCAGTGGACCTTCCGACCTTCCCTCTCTGACACAGTCAAATGTCTTTTGCATGTGTCAGAGAGAAAGGGCAAGGGCAGTGGCCATCAGTGCATTACAAGGGCTGTAACTTCCAGTCCCCCTCATCATGGATATATATACAAGCTATCTTTCTGGTCCGTTAAAGCACCAGTACACCACACATCGACTTACGGGTGTCAGCATGAAACCCGCACCACTTCCGAGGCGGCCAATTTTTTTTTTCCAACGATGACCCATGCTGCGCGGCCCCTCCGAGTTGTGCTTGTGGCGACAAAAACTTTCTACAAGGCTGGGGCTGTGTACTTGCGGTTTAAAGTCAGTGTTGCACACAAAACATAGGCACAATTTTTAGGGGCTGCTGTTTCGCGTGACCCTGACTTTCTTCCTCCCCCCCCCCCCCAAAAAAAAAAAAAACAAAAAAAAACGGGTCCTTATGGCCCTGGCTCCATATCCACTCTGGGGAGCGTCAGCCCGGTTCCTATTCCACCGGCAAATCAAAATTTACGACATGAACAAACTCACGCTTCCGTCCGTCTGGCCGAAGGACCCCTGAACAGCATTGATTGCTCCAGCAGTGTGGAGGATTGACTGTCAGCTTGCCATACATCTACCTTTCCTCTCAGATCCAGCTATCTGAACCTATCATATTTATTGCGAAAACACAAGAAAGGGATAGGCGAATAGGAAAACACAGTCTCGGAGCTCGTAGGTTCAAAGCCGTTTGCCATGGTAGTCGCGTAGTCTGCGGTGGAGCTTGCTGGACTCTTTGTCTTCTGACGCCCGCTTTTGAATTGTGCCAGTCTTTCACAACGAATGTGGAAATCCCTTATGTCTGCTACCTTGTTGCCACCTATCAGCCAGTCCTTTGTGAGATTTTTGACTGTTCTCTGCTTGCTGGTGTTCTACGTCGTCCATCATGGAGTGCCTTGTCTTTTGCCACTTTCGCGGAATTTCTGCCTGGATCAATGTCGTCTTCGCCCAGACCTTCTCCCTTGTCATTGAGAGACCTTCAATGGTTCTGCTACACCTTTCTTTCCATATAGACCAGAGTGTTACCTTTCTGATCATTCCAAATCAGATCTTCTCGGACTTGTGGAAGCGAGTGGGGGTGTTAGTCCATAGGAGGAGTTGTATGGGGTGTTCGGTCGGGGAGGGGGGTCGGGAAAAAGAGAATCTCATAGGCCGGATGCCCTGGCCCAGTATTTTGTCCCTTCTCTACAGCCTATTAAGCAGTGTATCATATCTTCTGATTCAGTTTCCAAACATACCGGCGATGATACCGCACATAAATCTGAAGATTCTGAACTGTTGGGGTCGCTCTTGCTTCTTCTGATGTGTAGCCATTTCCATACAGACCGGAGTGTTACCTTTCTGATCATTCCAAACCAGACCTTCTCGGACTTGTGGAAGTGAGCGGGGGGGGGGGGGNGGGGGTGTTGGTCCATAGGAGTTGTATAGGGTGTTCGGGGAGCAGGGTTGGGAAAAGAGAATCTCATAGGTCCGATGCCCTGGCCCAGTATTCTGTCGCTTCTCTACAGCCTATTAAGCAGTGTATCATATGTTCTGATTCAGTTTCCGAACATACCAGTCTTGCTTCTTCTGATGTGTAGCCATTGGTTGATCGGTAGCACTACGTATGAGATAAGCCATTGGAGGCCTCTTAAACCACCAGTACTTGGCCCAGCTATCGGCCGCAGCAAAAAAAAGAGTAGAAACGTTTCTAGTCGGATGAATCTGGGCGCTCCTGTAGTAGTCCGCACGTTTCCTAAATCGTAGCGCGTTAACGGGCACAACTCTAGGAAGTACTGGTGGTTTAAGTTTGACCGGGAGAATTGATTTGAATTTCTTCCACGGTATTTGTGGGATCTGGCTGGCTTCCTGGCCGATTAACTTCAACCATCTATCCTTGGTTTTGACGAGGAGGTTGTAACCCAGTCTAACTGTGTATTCATGGATGAGTACAACGTGACCCTGTCTTCTTTCTCCTTGTGAATACGAAGTTTTTAGAGGGAAGGAGTGGGTCATGCCATGACACCCCCGTCCCTCCAACGTTTTTCCCTTGAGCACCTGCTTTTGGGGGGTTTGGTAGCCAGATAGCTGCTTTACCTTTAAACTGTCTTGGCATTGATGCACAGTGAAAGGGTGGAAAACCTAGGTCAACCCTTTCTTCGTCTTTCTCTTCCAAGTACCAGTTCCTTACGTTTGCTTTTGTGCTGTAAAGGATACCATGTTGACAGAGCACCGAGCTATCGTACTTGGGTTCAGAGTGCTGTTTCACAGGGACAGCCTCTTTTTCATATATCTATCGTGAAACAGAACTGCCCGGTAAACCGTAGGCAAACAGGGAGAAGATGACTATATGTATAATATATATATTATAATATATTATATATATATTTACCGGGCAGTTCTGTTTGTGACTATATATATATATATTTACTTTCTTTTTGAAACAAACAGGTCTTCATGGCCCCGGCTCCTTGTCCATGCTGGGGACCATCAGTATGGTTCCTTTTCTTTTTTGTCCCGGGTTCCTTTCGCCATGGCAAAAACAGACCCTTTTTCATAGAAACTTGATGATGCAACTGCTTGTATCATATTGGTGTCCTTTCCTCTGATTTTTTTTCCCCCTTTTTGGTTCTTTCTTGTGCAGGATTCTCGCTCAACTCGGTTTAGTAGGTGAGATCCCTGACGACTGGCGGCGAATGAGAAATCTGCAATGTCTCGATCTTAGGAATAACCAGCTGGAGGGACTCATTCCTGACTGGCTTGCAGACCTACCACGTTTGGAAGAAGTGTAAGTGCTTGGCGTTTTCTGAGAGACCTACTTCGTACTAGAAGAAACGTAGGCACGTGCCATTTTTGGCTCCTTCGTTTGTTTGTTTGTTTGTTTGTTTGTTTGTTTGTTTGTTTGTTTGCTTGTTTGCGCGTCTGTATGTCTGCATGTATGTACCTGTTTGCTTCTTCTTCTTCTTCTTCTTCTTCTTCTTCTTCTTCTTCTTCTTCTTCTGCTTCTTCTGCTTCTTCTTCTTCTTCTGCTTCTCCTCCTCCTCCTCCTTCTTCTCCTTCCTTCCTTGCTTCCTTCCTTCCTTCCTTCTTCTTCTTCTTCTTCTTCTTCTTCTTCTTCTTCTTCTTCTTCTTCTTCTTCTTCCTCTTCCTTCCTCCTGGTCGTGTCAGCACTCCCTCAAAATTCTCCCCCCCCCCCCCCCCCCTCCGGTCATGAACCAGTCCCCCATGCTCTGCTGCCAGCCTCCCCCCTCCCCCCCACAAGTGTTTTTTTTTCTTCTTTGTTCTTCGTTTCTTTTTGGCATCTTCTTCACAGAAACCCACTCAAATCCCCCCCCTTCTGCCACTTCGCCCCCCTCAACACCACATCAAACATTTATAAATCACACAGATTCTGCCTCGTTGTGGGGAGAGCAGTCAAGGCCACGAATCAGGAAAAGACGAAAACAATAATCCATGCCACTTTCAGGGCTGCCCGGTATACCTGGCTGGACCCTGACCTTCTTAACAAAGCAGGAAGCCACTCAGCCTGGCTTTCAATGAATATCTTCTCTCTCTCTCTCTCTCTCTCTCTCTCTCTCTCTCTCTCTCTCTCTCTCTCTCTCTCTCTCTCTCTCTCTCTCTCTCTCTCTCTCTCTCTCTCTCTCTCTCTCTCCTTTCTGTGACTGCCTGGTTCACTTCTTTCTGTGCCTTCTATGACGTTTGGTCTCCTTTAGCTATGGATTAAATTTGCTTTCCCTCACTTTGACAGCAGCACAGCAAAAGACTGAGTTGCAGTAGACCTCCTGCAGTTGTCATCCAGACAAAGCAAGCTTCATCCCCGAACATAAAAACTACCAAATACCACGGATTCGGTTTCGCTTGAACTCGTGAGGAAAACTCGCAAACACAAAAGAAGGAAATAGCAAGAAAGAATACACAAAACCACAACCCCTTTCTCTCCATCCCTCCTCACCAATTACTCCTCCCACAATCATTCTTGCGACTCTTGCGACTACAGCAAAAGTTTATGCCTCTCGAGGGACCACAGCCGGAATCAACCACAAGAACACAGTGTTGACCTCCAGGAAGCTGGGTTGGGCTTCAGGTTCCCTCTGCTCACTAACCATAGTACATACCTCTTTTCTCCCGTTTTCCCGTTCTCCGTCTCCTGGAGCACCACTTTCCTCTTCGCTTAGAAGGCCTCCTCGTGCCTCCTGGCCCAAGTGCGGTCTTCACTAGTCCCCACAGGCCTCGCCTTGGCAAATGCCAGTGACTGTGGTTATATATACCACAGCCAATCTTGAAGTTATGCTCAAGAAGAAACAGTGCTACTCTCTAGAACTTCACTGCTTCATTTACACAGACATTTTGCAAACAAGAATGAGGGAACTTCATGACTGCTTTGCAAGCACAGCCAACGCACACAAGGATGAGGGAAAGACTCCAGCATCCTCACGGGATGTCCCTCCAAGATGAGGAATGCAGAATTGCTGGATGGTGGCATATACATTCAGCGTCTTGCCGCATCGGTGGATGGTTATGGGCCTTGCTCCACTACTCACCACATGCGCAAGAGACATCTGTTCCATGTTCTAGCGGAATAATTCGTTCTCATTTTGCACATTTGGTGAATAGTGGAGCGAGGCCCTATGTTCACTGAGTGTTCTAATGGCATCGCTATCACTCACCTATAATCCTGCGTGAGAATGCCATCAGAGACATGGCTTGCACATGTCAGTCATTCAAGGCCAAGCTGATCAGCCTTGAGAAGAAGCCTATGTCAGAGTGTTCTATCTTCTTCTACTTGTGCTCGTAAACTCATAACGTGTGAAATCTGTCCGCACTTGCGCTGTTGACCCTCTATCAAATGACTTTCTTATCTTGGTCTGTGTATTCAGTGTCCACTGTGTCTGCATGGCACCCGGTGGCTGATGTTCTCCATGGACTCTTACCTCTGCAGGCACCTAGATAACAACAAGTTCTCGGGACCACTACCTCTTCGTTTGGCGGAACGGCTGAAGAGCAACTTCACGTAAGTGCTTGGCGTTTGTCAGACCTAGCCCAGTGGTATATGCTTCATGTTCTCTTCTTTGTATCATAGTGAGGAGGAGAGGGCAGAGAGAGTGGGAGGAGGTTGACATGGGTAAGCGTTGACGATGAGAGAGCAGCCTTCATATTATTGCATTCAACATGGCCCAGCAAAGTCATGGATTCAGAGTTTAAGATGCATATATAGGTCAGTGTGCAGCTCCGGCGAAATGACACGTTGTGGCTTGCGTTCTTGATTTTTGTTTCAAAATTTGAGATATCTACCACTTGCACTTCTTTGTTATCAGTTTCGTCTCTGATTTTCTGAGCCGTGATGACCATAATGGGCCTTGTTCCACTTCTTGCCATGTGTCAATGGCGAGTGTATCTTGCTTGCGATCAAAGGCGGCAAAATTATACATTCACATTTTCCCCACATTTGCTGAGTAGTGGAACAAAGCCTTAAGTGTATTTGTTTTTGTTATAAACATTTTTCCTGCTATGATGAATGCCGAGCCATTTTTTAATTATTACCAGTTGATTCTATTCTAATATTGTTGTCGTCATGATGCTCCGTCATGTGCATCTGCTCCGTGTTAATGAAATGATACGATTAAACCTGTTTCCACCATGGCGCTTTTCTCCGTGATGAAGTGCTGGCTTCACCAGCCTCTGCTGTCATTACTAAGTTGTGAATCTCAGCGGCACTGTCCCATGCCATTGTGTAGCTCTCTTAACTCTCTTGTCCGCTGCATGATGTCAATGTCCCTCCTTGCCGTTGAAAAATGTGTTCTGTGATTTGTGTATCGTTCGTTCTACAATTATACAGCCTTCTGACATGTTGTGCTCATTGAACTTGGGTCACGTCAAGAGCTGCAGAGTAGTGCCTACGGGTTGATATGCCGTTTCTCTCAGGTCAGGCACCTAGCACCATGATTATGAAGGTCCCATAACTAATTTAACAGATTGTTTCTGCTGCAGGTTTAGTTACAATTATGGTATCTGCAACATCCCAGGGCAAGATGTCCCATGTCCCGAAGCAGAGCCGTCACTGAGTTCATCGGGACCACCTACGAACGTGATTCAGCCATTGATTGCCAATGACCGACGGCAAACATCGGCAAAATCAACGGAATCGACATCTCCAATAAGTGGAAGCCGTCATGCGGAGCCGGCAGCCGTGGCATCTATGGTTCTGACAGCGGTCGTGACTCTTTGCGCCATACATGCATTCACCCGGGAAATTTATCAGCTTCATTGAAAGGTAAAGCTGTACATGAAATGGCCAAGCAGCTTCTGAGAGTGTTTCCTTCGTATGTTCTCCTTCAACATTCGTCACGTCATGGATTGATTTAGTGCAAAAATATTTAGGAGTTGCTGAAATAACAGCCACAGAACCAATCTGTGAATGATAGGTGGATGGATGAACAGTGAGTTTACGGAGCACATGCGAGCTCGCCAACGACCAGGAGGGGAAGCCTTCTGTGTTCATGCTTTGAAGCGAGACACTGGCGAAGCCATAACTTCCTTCTTCTTAATGAAGTCATTTCACAATTTCTTTGTTGTGTTCAGTGGCTGGGTGGCTTGCTGCCAGAGCAGCAGCGGCCCTAGACACAAATGATATCTTGACACCAGGCACTGGTCCGACAGGCTGGCTGATTCCAGCCGTTAGAAATCTGGACGACGTCCAGGAAATTGGGTCATATGTGTCTGAGTTCCTGGCTGGAGACCGCCCTTGAATGTCTGGATATGGGGAAAAAGAAAAGATTGGGGTAACTTCAGAAGAGTCACAAAAAAAAAACAAGTTATAATTGCAGTATGGGGCAAGATACAGTTTGCAATCGTACTTGTGGTGGCACCCTACATGGCCAGAAAGCTGGGTTGTATACATTGCCGGAAACGCAATTCGAAACTCTATCTTGGCCCATAGTGCAATGATAACTCATTTTTGTGACTAGCTGGGTTGTATACATCGCCCGAACTGCAATTTGAAACTCTATCTTGGCCCATAGTGCAATTATAACTCGTTTTTCCGACTCCTGCGTAGTTTCCCCTTTTTTTTTAATTTGAAAGGCCCGTTAGAGATGGCGGTTGGTTAAAGCTTGAAACGGCGTATGCATGAGTTGGAATTTGGAAAACAATGTACCTTGTGAAGTTGACTCCGTTGAAGCGGAAGAAAGGAACCAACTCAGCGAAGAATCACATGTCCACAACAAAAACGCTGGGCACATATTCACAAGTCACCATAAACTTCAGAAAGGTTGCACAACGTGACTGACTAGTCGTTATAATCGAATGTCTGTGTTGGCTTCCTCCCTCTTCTCCCCCCCCCCCATGTCACCTCTCTCTCTCTCTCTCTCTCTCTCTCTCTCTCTCTCTCTCTCTCTCTCTCTCTCTCTCTCTCTCTC